TGTGTGGCCTGTGAATGATGTTATAAATTTTGGTAGAAAAAAGGTTTCCTACCCCTGCTCTAGATCCACCATGCTCTCCATGTGTGAAATATGTATGTGCTTTGTGGGAAGTGTGTATGTGTGCGGTATATGACTGTGTGGGGAGTGTGTGTATGTGGTATGTGATGTGTGCGGAGTATATACTGTTTGTGATGTGTGTGTGGAGTGTGTGTGTGTGTGTGTAGTATGTGGGGAGTGTACATGGTGTCTTGTGTGTGTGTGTGTGTAGTATGTGTAGTGTATGTGATGTGGTGTGTGTGTGTGTAGTATGTGGGGAGTGTATGTGGTGTGTGTGTGTAGTATGTGGGGAGTGTACGTGGTGTATGTATGTGTGTCTGGTGTGTGTAGTATGTTGGGAGTGTATGTGTTGTGTGTTGTGTAGTATGTGGGAAGTGTATGTGATGTTTGTTGTGTGTGTGTACTATGTAGGGAGCATGTGGTGTGTGTGTAGTATGTGGGGAGTGTGTGGTGTGTGTGGTGTAGGTATGTAGTATGTTGGGGGTGTCTGTTGTGTGTTGTGTATGTGGGAAGTGTGTTGTGTGTTGTGTGTGTAGTATATGAGGAGTGTATGTGTTGTGTGTGTGAATGTGTGTAGTATGTTGGGAGTGTACCAGGTATATGGTGTTAGTGTGGTGTGTGATGTGTGTCAGGTATACGTATATAAGCGGGTAGGGAGGGAGGGACCCGGGGAGGCATGGCAGCCCACCCCTCACCCAGCGGCGCCCCCTCCTTAGGAGCTGCGGGAGCGAGTCCTCAGAGGGAAGTATCGCGTCCCTTTCTACATGTCCACTGACTGTGAGAGCATCCTGCGGAGATTTTTGGTGCTGAACCCAGCAAAACGCTGTACTCTTGAGGTGAGATCCAGTCCCCCCAAATCACCTGAACCCCCAGGCCAGCCTTCTCACCCTTCCATTTCCCCTCAGCACCCACCTGTCTGAGACCCGCCCTGCCACCACCCCAGCAGCCTCCTCATGCCCCCCATGCCAGTAATTAGCTAATGAGCTTCCAGGATGATTACAGGGTGCCAGGGACCCAGATGATGCGGAGGAGGGGGGCTGGCATCAAGAGTCTGTGGGAATGGGGTGTGCAGAGACACTAGCGCTCACGTAGCCCTCAATTCTGGGGTGTCGCGCCTTGGGCCAGGGGTGTATTTGCCAGTTCTTTCTGACCACTGTCTTCCCCCTTTCCTGCAGCAAATCATGAAAGACAAATGGATCAACATCGGATATGAGGGTGAAGAGTTGAAGCCATACACAGAGCCTGAGGAGGATTTTGGGGACACCAAGCGAATTGGTGAGGGACCTGGAGGGCAGGGGCCCCCACCTCCTCGGAGCCACTGAACCATTCCCCCAACACCAGTCCCTTCTGTGAGCAGCAGAGGAGTCTGTGAAGCAGTTAGGAAGAGCCCAGGCTCAGATTCCCACACTGTCGCTTTCTAGCTGTGTGACACCCTGGGCAAGTGGCTTTTCCTCTCTCTGTGCTTTCTTTCCTCGTCTGTAAAATGATCATGGAAGAAGCCGTGGTCAATTGGGAACTGAAAGGTTGGTAGTTTCAACCTCTGTCACACATGGGTTGCCAAGAATCAGGATCAGCTCGGCGACACAAAATGGTCATGGAGAAGCCAGACGGTTGAATGTTCTCAGTTGCTAAACTGAAAAATGCAGGTTCGAGTCCACTTGGAAGAGAGGCCTCTTGGAAGAAAGACCTGGTAATCCACATCCAGAAAACCAGCCATTAAAAATCCAGCCGTCCATAATTTTACTCTGCACCCATGGGGTCGCCAGGAGTCCAGGCTGACACGGTGGCCGCTGATTGTACGATGGTCCTAACAAGAGAACCGGCCTCAGAATTGTTAAAGAGAAAACTCAAACCCGTGGCTGTTACGTTAATGCCGACTCATAGCGACTCTCTGGGACAGAACACAACTGCCCCATAGGGTTTCTGAGAGTGTAATCTTTACGGAAAGAAACGGGTGGTGCCGTGGGTTAAGTGTTGTCTACTAACTGCAAGGTCGGAGGTTCAAACCCACCAGCTGCTCCATAAGAGGAAAATAAGACTGCCTCCACAAAGATTTACAGTAATTATAGTCCATCCCATGGGTTCTTTGTGGGGCACTGTAGGATAAGCACTCGACCATAAGGTCAATTTGAACCACAGGGTCGGTGGTTCAAACTCACTAGCTGCTCCTCTCTGTACAGGGTTGTTAAGAACACCACCACCAGCTCTGTCCCATGAGTTTGGTGTAAGTAGAAACAAACTCTATGGTAGTGTTTATTTTGTTTTTTGTTTTTTATGTTTATTTTTTAACAAGCAGACCACCATATCTTTCTTTCAGAATGGCTGGTGGATTTGAACTGCCGACCTTTGGGTTGACAGTAGAGCACTTTAGCCACTGTGCCACCAGGGTACCTTTCTGGAGCGTGGTTAGGAATATGAAGAGTTCATCTATGTAAAGTGCCAGTGTATAGTAAGTACTGGACACATGCTGAGTTTTCAATTTTAGGAAAAGAGGAGAAATCACAGAAAGTTCACATATGGTGAAGGATTTGACCTATGCCACTGAGCGGCTCCTGTAGAGATCATTGAATGGACACCGAGGCTGCTGTGTTTCTTCACCAAAAACATTATAAAATACGAGGGGCTTCAAAAAGTTTGTGGGAAAATTCCATATTCTTTCTATCCCAAATTTCCACAAACGTTTAGAAGCTCCCTCATATTAAAGATGGGAAAAGGAAATCACGGAGTAGTTGAGGAAGATGTGCATCCGTCAGTGTTGATCTGCCAGTCTTGGGAATGCCTCACCTGCGTGACCCTGCAGCCATTATACAGATGAGGAAACCGAGGCCATCATCAGAATCTGGCTACATGAATCAAGGCTTTCTTGGTTGGAAGTAACAGTAAACCCAAGTTCAATCTGGCTTCATCCTGATAACAGTAACAATAATGCTGTTGGACTACCGTCATACCGCTCCCAACTCATGGTGGCCCCAGGCCAAGCAGACCGAAATGCTTCCTGATCCTGCTCCCATCCGCATGGTCAGTTGGGGGTTGGCCTGTTGTGATTCATAGTGTTTTAATTTGCTGATTTCTGAAAGCACATTGCCAGACCTTTCTTCCTGCTCTATCTTCAGTCTGGAAGCCCCACTGAAACCTGGTCAGCATCACAGCAGCCTGCAAGCCTCCACTGACAGATGTGGGGCAGGGAAGGCAGGTATTCTACTGCAGGATCACCAGTGCCTCACAATTACAAATTGAACCATATGAAGTCACCATCTTTAGAAGTCGAAACTGTTTGCTTTAGTAATTTCATATGATTTATAAAGCCTAAAAGTAACAATTTATTGCATCACATAATTGAAAAGGCTACATAACTGAAACGTTGTGTCAGGCTTCAGGTAAAGCTGGATCCAGGTGCTCCGAGATAATCATTGACTTCTTTCCCAGTTTATCTCACATTGGAGATAAACTGGCAACGCAATGTGTCCTAGTGACCTGGACCCTGTTAGAAAGAGAAGCCCCTTTCTAACCTTCTAATAGAATCGGGCTGCGAACCACAAGGTCAGCAGTTCGAAACAACCAGCGTTCCGCGGGAGAAAGATGAGGCTTTCTGGCTTTCTACTCCCGTAAAGATTTACACCCTCGGAAACCCTGTACAGGGTCGCTATGGGTCGGAATCAACTGTAAGGCACTCAACAACAACAACAATAGAAGCCCGAGGCTGGTGTTCTTTGTCTACCCCTGAACCAATCATTATGGCTTTTGGAACTGGAATTCTCTGATTGGCTAGACCTGGGTCATATGCTCACCCTTAGGGCTTGGAAAGGGCATCCCATCTTTGAGTCCAGCCTCGGAAGAAAGGTCTGGCAGTCTCCTCCACAGAAATCAGCCGTAAGAAAACCCTGTGGAGCACAGTTCTACTCTCACACCATGGGGTCGCCATGAGTCAGAATCCATTCAACCTCACTTTTGTTTTTGAGGGGGGGAGGGCTTGGAACATGCAGCCAAATGATCTGACGTGGGTCCAAAAGTTAGGGGGAGTGGATACTGGACGGTCCTGAGAGCAGACATTGTGTGTGGTATGGAAATGGATGGGATGGAAGGAGACTCTGGGGTGACTGACGTTCTTCTCTCGCCATCCTCTCTCCCCAGAGGTCATGGTGGGTATGGGCTACACGCGGGAAGAAATCAAAGAGGCCTTGACCAGCCAGAAGTACAATGAAGTGACCGCCACCTACCTCCTGCTGGGCAGGAAGACTGAGGTCAGAGGTCACTTTGGAACTATGGAAGGGGGGGGTGGGGGCAGCTGGGACAGGGTCTGAGGCTCCTCATCTGTCATCGTCCTGCAGGAAGGTGGGGACCGGGGTGCCCCAGGACTGGCCCTGGCACGGGTGCGGGCGCCCAGCGATACCACCAACGGAACCAGCTCCAGCAAAGGGGCCAGCCACAGCAAAGGGCAGCGGGGCTCCTCCTCCACCTATCACCGCCAGCGTCGGCACAGTGACTTCTGTGAGTCTCAGCCCCGCACCTTCTGTCCTTGTTAGCCAGTGCTGCTGCCACACAGATACCCCAAATCGGTCGCCTTAAAGAACAGATTTGGTTTTTTCTCGGTTCTGGAGACAAAAAGTCCAGATCAGGGGCTTTGCTGTGATTCTTACTTTGTCGGCAGCCATTACCCACTTCCATGGAGTTGATTCCAACTCATAACGACAGAGTAGAGCTGCCCCAGAGAGCTTACAGAAGCAGATTGCCTCATTTTTCTCCAACACAACAGCTGGTGGCTTTGAACCGCTGACCTTTTGGTTTGTAGTATAGTGCTTTCTTGTTAGTAAAACTAAGAACACCAAACCCAACCCATCGTCACTCTGTTGATTCAGACTCATAGTGACCCTGGGTGTATAGTGTTTCCGAGGTTCACAATCTTTACCGATGCAGAAAGCCTCTTTCTCCCCAGCAGCAACCGGAACAACCCTGCAGTTAGCAGTTCGAGCATTCCTTCTTTTAATTCCTTCCTTTTGGATTGTTGTTAATTGTCCTCTATTCATTCTGACTTATGTGAAGAGCAGAACTCCAAGCTGTGAGCTTTTAGCGACATCACCAGACCTGTGTTCCGAGGCACCTGTGGCCTAGTAGCTGAGTCCTTCATAGTTTATGCCACCCAGGGACTTGGTGGCTCCAGACATTCCTTGGTTTTTGGCCATCCTCAAACGCATATGTTCCCCTCCTTGTGTGTTGGTCTCTGTGTCTAATCTGCTCTTTTATCACTCATACGCTTGTGAGTTTAGGACCCATCCCACACTGTTGTAAAACATCACTAAAATAATCATAGGCCTAGGAGTTTGATTTCCAGCACATAGAAAGGGATTTCAAAAGTTTGTGGGAAAATAGAATGAAAAGATAAAGGAATTTATCCACAAACTTTTTGAAGGCCCCTGGTATTTTGAGTGGGGCCACAATCCAGTCCATAACGTCTCAGACTCCAATCCTTGGTCCTGCATTCTCAGACCTGTGCTACTATGCCAGGGCTCTTGAGCTTAATAAGCATCAGAAACCCGCTTCAGTAAGTGTAGCAAAGAAATGAATCTTTTTTTTTTTTTACTTTTTATTGCAAGTTGGGTAAAAGTTTACTGAGCAGCTCAATTTCCTGTTCAGGAATTCGTATACATTTTGTTTCATGTTACTGATTACAATCCCCACAATGAAACATCACTTGATCCCACTTCCTCCCTGCGTTTCCTGTTTCCATTCCCCCTCCTTTCCTAACTTTTCTGAACTTTATCCTTGAATAAATGCTTCCCTTTTGATATCAAGTGGTTGATTATTCCAAGGTGTATCTAGCTCCTAGTGACATTCACTGTTCCCTGCATAGACCTGTCTGTTGCTTGGGTGAAGGTTGAGCTAGGGAGCTGAGTTCAATTCCTTAATCTGAAGGATCACAACAGGCCATAGTCCTCATTGTTTTGTTTTGTTTTAATGGTTTTGAGTTTTGTTCCACGTGTTTCTTCCACTCTGTCCAGGATTTTCTAATGATCCCTTTCAGTTAGAAGAGTAGTTAGTAGTGCTAGCTGGGAACTGTCTATTCCCTTCTGGTCTCCGGGCCATGGAGAATGATGGTTTTGCATGGTCCATTAGTCCCTTAACTGATTGTTTTCATGTGTCTTCAGTTTTTCTTCCCTCTTTCCTCCTGAAAGGGAAAGACCCATAGTTGCACCTTTAGGACATTTCTTATCCCTGGTTTTAGAGCTGTAGGTCTTTAAGACACGCTCAAGAACTGGGACTTTTGTTTTGTTTTTGAAATTGTTAATAGAACCACCACAATTAACGAAAGGACTAAAAAGGTTGCTCTTGTTAGGTGCCATCAAGTCGGTTGTGACTCATGGTAACCCCGTGTGTACGGAGTTTTCAAGGCTGAGCCCTTTCGGAAGCTGATTGCCAGGTCTGTCTTCCAGTGCACCTCTGGGTGGATTCGAACCACCAGCCTCTTGGCTTCTAGAGCACTTAACCATTTGTACCATAAGCAGTGAAGATGACTTGTCCAAGACATCCTCCCCACCCACCTCCCAGCAGCCTCCCAGTTCCTCTCCTTGGAAGCAGCTGCTGTTGGCAATTTGGTGTAAATTCTTTTGGAGATACTGAATTCACATGCAAACAAATCTATAAAGAGATAGATATAAAAAGGAAGAAATAGATATAACTACAGTATCTTTCCCTTTAAATGTAAATAGTGACCTTTAGAAATTTGCATTTGTATACAAACAAATATATAAGTATATAAAAAAAAAAGAGGAAACCAAACCCCCTGGCATGGAGTCGATTCTGACTCACAGTGACCCTCTATGGAGTTTCTAAGACTAAATCTTAATAGGAATTGTTGTTATCACGTGCCGTAGAACCAGTTCCAACTCATAGCGACCCTGTGTAGAGTTTCCGAGGAATAGCTGATGGGCTTAAACCACCGACCTTGTGGTTCAAACTGACCTTGCAGTCCAGCACATTAACCCGCAGCATCACACCAGGACTGCGTTATAGGTGTTGTTGTTGTTGTTGTTGTTGTTAAGGGCCGTGGAGTCGGTTCCAACTCATATGACCCTGTACAGGGTTTCCGAGGTTGCAAATCTTTACAGGAGCAGAAAGCCTCATCTTTATCCTGTGGAACAGCTGGTAGTTTCGAGCTGCCGACCGTAAGGTTAGCAGCCCGATTTGTAACCACTATGCTACCAGAGGAGTAGACAGCCTCATTTTTCTCCCAAGGGGCAGCTGATAGATTTGATCTGTTGACTCTGTGATTAGCAGCCCAGTGCTTAACCCAAAGCATCACCAGGACTCCTAATTATAAAGACGTAGACATGCAATCTAGATATATTAATGTAATACAACGTAATACACACATAACATCTTCTTTGAATATAAATAACCCTTTGCAGATATTCTATTCATATAAAAGCAAGTAGATTAGACCCAGAGAGGGAGAGGGGCTGTGTGCTGACGACCGGGGGATAGGCTTGCAGGGTGTACCCTTTGGTTGGCTGATGATGCATGGAAGGGATTGTAACCATGGCAATGAAACGATATACGATAGGGTGAATGTAAAGCTAATGTTCTCCCATGTAAACTATCACATAATTCACAATAAAACATTAAAAAAAAAAAGCCAGTAGACGTAAAGGAACCTTGGTGGTGGTGTGTGTTAAATGCGAGACTGCTGAAAAGCCGGTGGTTTGAACCTACCAACCGCTCCGCAAGAGAAAGATGTGGCAGTCTGTTTCTGTAAAGATTCCAGCCTTGGAGACCCCACATGGAGCAGTTCCACTCTGTCCCTTAGAGCCACTATGTGTTGGAATTAACAGGATAGCAGTGAGTTTAGTTTTTTGAGTAAGAAGGAAGAAGTCCAAGGTGCATTGAAGGAATTGGCAAAGAACAAGGCTCCAGGAATTGATGGAATACACACACATTCAAATCTTTCAAGAAAGTGAGGCGGCACAGGAGGCACTCACTCATCTCTGCCAAGAAATTTGGAAGACAACTATCTGGCTGACTGATTGGAAGAGATCCATATCTGTGCCCATTCCAAAGAGAGGTGACCTAATGGAATGTGGAAATCATCGGACAATAGCTTTGAGATCCCATGCAAATAAAGTTTTGCTAAAGGTAATACAAAAACGGCTGCAAGCATACATTGACAGAGAACTTCTGAATTCAGAAGAGGCTGTGAAACGAGGGATATCATTGCTGATGTCCGATGGATCTTTGTTGAAAGCAGAGAATATCAGAAAGATGTTTACCTGTGCTTTACTGACTACGCAAAGGCTTTTGATTGTGTGGATCATGACAAGCTATGGACAACAGTGCGAAGTATGAGTATTCCGGAACACTTAATTGTGCTCATGAGGAATCTGTACATGGATCAAGAGGCAGTTATTTGAACAAAACATGGGAACACTGGATGGTTTAAATTTAAGAAGGGTGTGCGACAAGGCTGTATTCTTTCACCATACTTATTCAACCTGTATGCTGA